GGTCCCTTCCAACTTTATTATTATTATTAGGATGTTATTATTATTAAGATGATCTCCATTATATCTTTTACTAACTATTATTCTGATTTTTTTTCATTTATGTGCCCCAAATGGATGATATTCAGATTATACTGGAGAAGAACTGATCCTGAATTATTTTCCAGGTTGAAAGATGGAATCCAAATAACCAGTTCATCCATACTGCTAGTTTTATATATGTTCTGAATATTGTATCTACTAGCAGTGAATATTTGTAGTTCAGGGTTGAACTATGGAGTCTTTGGTGCTCTCTGAGCTTGATTGTTTTCTTGCAGACATTTCATTACCCTAGTTGGATTCCACAATAATAACCATCCAACCATTGCTCTTGAAACCCTTCCTGATGTCAAGAGTTGTTTACTGAATAGCTTTCAGATGGTGGTTTTAGTAGTCCAAAAGCCTCTTAAAGCTGTACAATCAGTCTAGTTGTTGATCCGAATATTGGCAAGGCTGCAAAATGCATCTCCCTTGGTTTGGGTGTGTTTTTTCCCCTCCCAGTGCGTTTCTGCAGATTGCTTCCTTCAAGCTGTAATCCCTTGTCTCCTTGTGTATTTTTGGAAGGGCAGACGGAGAGACTCTGCATCATCAGTGGGAGAAATTAGTGAGTCATAGCACTCATTTATGAGGAACGTTGTTCCATTCGAATCTCTCTTGTCAAGATGCTGACAGTAAATTTGAGTCATTGGCAGCAAACAAGCTGTACAGCAACTTGAATATTTGGAGGATAAAAATAGATTGGGAGGATGGAAGCTGACTTTTCGTCTGAAATCCTCAGACTTTGGGATATAAGATTTCTCCCACCCCCAATCTGTATTTTGGTTTCATGATCTGCATATGCTCGAATCTTGATTACAACCAGTTTTTGTTTTCCATCTGAAGATGTTTGTCTTTAGTTAAATCCTTATGTGGAGCTATTCAACAACTTCAGGGCAGTTCCAGGGTGGTGTCTCCCAGATTTCTTACTTTTGACAACATTTTTATTTTTGAATTATTACTGGAGAGTTTTGCTTTCATTCTGCCAAAATAAATGTGTTTGGGGGAATACGAGTTAGAATGATGTAATGGGAGACCATACATTCTACAAAGTCAGATTATTTTGTCCACTTGGCTGAAAGGTTGTTTTTTTTTTTTCTTCAAATGGTGCCAGCCCCAGAAAAAAATTCGGTAGGGAGTCTTCATACTATCTGCTGCAACTTTACGGTAGCCTTCCCAACCAGCATTCTCTAGACCAGAGGTCCCCAGTGTTTTGGGCACCAGGGACCAGTTACATGGAGAGAGGTTTTTCAGCAGACCGGAGGGGGCATGGTTTTATGTGCTGCCTGCATCCCATCGATGGGGCTTTGTTTGTTTGTGTGGACCAGTTGCTGGCATGCTGTGGCCCGGTACTGGTCCACGGATCAGGAATTGGGGACCCCTGTTCTAGACAGAGAGAATTTCATAATTGCCCAACCAATTTAATAGGAATTATGGGAGCTTGAAGTTTACCTCCACATGAAAGTGGAGAAGATCTGTGGTGTTCCCAAAATCAAGCAGGTCCTCTACTATTCATCTTCCCTATTTCAACCTGTTAAATATGTTATTATTAGTATGAAATCACATAAACAGTTTGCTATGCACATTTTGCCTAGAGAATTTGCAGAGAGCATTTGGCAACAAGCCAGCAGCCACCACTTATCTTTGAGAACACAGTATGTTGCTTAAGTGTAAGTTTTCTTCGAAATATGGTTGCCAAGAAATTGATAATACAGGTAGCCTCAGCTGACAATCATTTGTCTAGTGATATTCAAAATTACAACATCATTGAAAAAAGTGACTTGTGACCGTTTTTCATATTTAGGACCGTTGCAGGATCCTTGTGGTCACATGATCAAAATTTACATTCTTGACTACTGGCATGTATGTGTGATGGTTGCAATGTTCAGGGTCATATGATCATCTTTTGTGAGCTTCTGACAAGCAAAGTCAATGAGGAAGACAAATTCACTTAACAACCGTTTTACTAACTTAGTAACAACTGCAGTGATTCATTTAACAACTACGACAAGAAGGATCATAAAATGGGACCAAACACACTTAACAACTGTCTTGCTTAGCAATAGAAATTTGGGGCTCAGTTGTGGTTTTAAGTTGAGACTGCTGTATTCTCAATTCTGGGATGAGATTCTTCCACCAGTCCACATCTCTACCGTTAGAGATGAACTGAAATGCCTGTCTTACAAACTTTTAAAAAGTCCATCAGTTATTTTCTCCCACTGTTTTCTTTCTAAACAGCTTGAACTTCCAAATATGACTTAATTTATGTAGATTTGTTTGTCTTCAAAATGTCACAGGACTTTTAGTGCAGAGTACTTATTTAGAAATTATTATTATTTTATATGTCAGAGGAACCTATGCAGATAAATTGACTGGATGTTGAGTCATGGCAGCTCTACTTCTTTTTCTTATTGATTCAAAAAGTTTCGCTGTTTTATCCAAGTAAAAGTCTTCAGTCTTCTATGCAGATGCGTTGAGGCTTTTCAAGTAGATGTGCAAAGGATGGTGTGACTTGCTGAGTCTAGAAGGAAGATCCACAGAGTACGGAGTAAAAAAAATCAAAATGGTGGGGTCATAGATGAAAGTCAATGGAGATTCTCAATCTTCTAGGTCATGGTTGTCCCAAAGGCAACTGGAGTTTCTTGTTATTTTTCAAAGACATTTCACTTCTTAGTAATAGTAATAGTAGTAATAGTAATAGTAGTAAAGTTGGAAGGGACCTTGGAGGTCATCTAGTCCAACCCCCTGCTCGGGCAGGAAACCCTACACCATTTCGGACAAATGGCTGTCCAGTCTCTTCTTAAAAACTTCCAGTGTTGGAGCATTTACTGCTTCTGGAGGCAAGCTGTTCCACTGATTAATTGTTCTCACTGTCAGGAAGTTTCTCCTTAGTTCTAGGTTGCTTCTCTCCTTGATTAGTTTCCACCCGTTGCTTCTTGTCCTGCCTTCAGGTGCTTTGGAAAATAGCTTAATTCCCTCTTCTTTATGGCAGCCCCTGAGATATTGGAATACTGCTATCATGTCCCCCCTTGTCCTTCTCTTCGTTAAACTAGACATACCCAATTCTAGCAACCGTTCCTTATATGTTTTAGCCTCCAGTCCCCTAATCATCTTTGTTGCTCTTCTCTGTACTCTTTCTAGAGTCTCAACATCTTTTTTACATCGTGGTGACCAAAACTGGATGCAGTATTCCAAGTGTGGCCTTCTTATCCAAGGAGCTTCTTCAGCTCTGACTGGATGGCAAGGAATGGAAGGATTTATATTCCTTGCAGACAGCTGGTCATTTGCATTCTTTTTGAAGTTCACCTTCATCTAAATTTACTAACTATGGTACTAACAATTTGCAAATGGCTATAGCTATTTGCAACCCTATTTTTTCTTGTTCGTATCACATAGCAAATTGGCAAATTGAAAAACTGTTAGTAGCCATAATGGTGGTTTTTCTCTGTGCTATCCCATGTCTACATAACAGTATCCCGTCTTCTTCCTTCCCCTTGGAATTAGAAGAGCTCCAAGGGTTTTAGAGAGATCAAGTTTTTTTTCTCCTAAGAAGCTTTTAGGGCCTGATGTAAATGTTCTCCCTGTCTTTTCTGATTGTTTATGCCTAGAGTTTTCTTGGTGCACTTGGATTAATGGTTATTAACTCCTAAATTAAGATACAGGTAGTCCTCGGCCTACAACTGTAATTCTGGTTCAAATTGTTGTTGCAGTCATTAAGTAGATGCCATAGGACCAGAACCAATTTTATGACATTTTATGTGCTGGCCATTAAGTGAATGCAATGATCATTAAGAGGCTGCATTTTACTCACTGGTTGTTTTTGCTGGAAACCAGAAGTAAACACCAGAAATTAGCATTGAAAATCATAGTCACATAAGTAGCTTTTAGGAAATCTGTCATAACTTCAAACAGTCACTAAAGGATCAGTCATAAATCAAGGATTAACTGTATGGACTGTATTCACTCTTGTTATGGATGTGCTGAATACTCTGCTTAGAGCAGTTGAAGCAACTGATAAATCCAAATAATCAAGAAATGAAAGTAATAAAATAGTATTTTAAAGTTTTGAAGTAGCTTGCCACTAAATGGAAATTACTGGAAGACACAGTTGAGGAAAGCTGAATAAAGTTGTATTTATTCAGAATGAATGACCTATCCTATTGCCCCACCATTTTATAAATAAACTTGTCATCCTCTTGAGGCTCTGGGACTGGAGTTTCCTAGATTTTCAGACAGCTCAAGATCTGCATTTGGAGAATAGAATAAAACCATGCAAAGCTTTGCAATTCACTAGCAAAACCAGTCAATTAATGCTCCTGTCTTCATTTTTGCTTTTGGTGCATCTTAGGACATAGTATTTGATCTGTCAAAAAAAATCTTCTCAACTGTATGGCTGAAGGGATAGAAATAGTATCTTTTTATAGCCTGGACTTGAGACGTTTGATGCAACTGATGTTTTGCATTTTTGACTTCAAGTAGCTCTTAAAAGCTTAGCCAAATGTTTATACAATACTATTATTTCAATAATGTACCAACAGTTCCAAATCTTTTGTGCATCCTTCATGCTTGATTAAAGAATCCCATTAATAGGGGTGGAAAATGCTAATTGGCAATGTCCTTTGCCAGCCATTACCAACTCAAATATCCTATATAATCCACTGTTGATTATCATAATGAAAGCTGCTGTATTTTTATAAGACAGAATATCGCAGTGACAATACAGCCCTCTGAATCTTGGACTTTCACAATCGGCAGAAAACTACACTGTGAATTTAGTTGCCAAAAATGGTTCTAGCATAAATTATCTTTTCGAGTCAGAATGGAAATAATATATTTTCAACCATTTATTCATTATGATCATCAAAACAAACAATGGCACAATGGGAAAGCAGTTACTACCTTGACTTGAGTGGATGAGTTCTTTCTGCATTAAAACTGGTCTTGATTTTCTTTGCTTTCTTTGGCAGGTGACATCACACAGAAGGGCTATGAAAAGAAGAGATCAAAATTAATTGGGGCCTACTTGCCACAACCTCCAGGTATGTAGACATTTAGAAGTAGTGCATGGAATTGTCATGTGTATTAATCATTACAACAATCTGTTAATGTGCATTGTAAAGAGTTTATTATCTGGAGGCACAAAAGAATCTGTCACTATTGTGTAATGTGTGTCAGTTCCTCCCACTAGCTAGTTCTTGTGGACAAATGTTCGTCTCCTTGTTTAAATATATGGCACAGGTGTGCACCTCTTCTCATTCCCATCCCAGATTCATAGCACTAGCACTTAGGCTTATATACTGCTTATATATAGCACTCTCTGAACCATTTACAAATGTCCGCATATTGCCCCCAATAATCTGGGTCCTCAGTTTACTAGTCTCTGAAGTATGGAAGGCTGAGTCAACTGTGAGCTGGTCAGGCTCTAACTCCTGACAGTAGGCAGAGTTAGCCAGCTATACTGCATTCTAACCATGCTACTATCACGCAGCAATAGGAATCACATGGTAAATGGAGCGAGATGATTGTTGAAAAGTATAACTATTTTCAACTAAAATTATGGAATTAGATAATATCTGAAAATAATTTAATTATTTCAAATTTAAAATCAACAAGATTTTATTTATTTATATTTTATACTTCTAAACTGCCCATCTTCCCTTCCTACTTTCCTAAAGAAATGGATATTTCCAGAAGTAGACATGGTGAGCAGACTATGTTTATAGAATGTGTCCAAAATGTAAAATTTGGAACTGAAGAACTGGAAGGAATGCTACCTCGTTCATGACAAGCAACCTTCAGAATTACTGGCCTGAAAAACATCTGTCCACAATATCTCTGTCTTAAGTGGACTCTACTCCAGTTAATTGACCCCACTTAATCCATCATTACCTACTAAGGAATATCTGCAGATTTTGGAGAAAATGAGAAAGGAGAGATAGATAGACAAATCCATTCTGTGGACACTGCAGTCCAAATATTGAACAGAACAAGAGAAAGCCTAGAACTCCTCAGTAGATGACATTTAAGCATCCTGGAGCCAAAGAGAAATTTCCCATTGCCTTTCTCTGGTGGTGATCTTACAGATAAGAATGAAACTCCTGAAACCCATGTCCTTCCAGTTTTAGAGACAGTACATCTCAGACCAACTGTGCTCTAATTATTCCTCCCTAATCTGTTGGATCTGCTTCTTCCAAAACTGCCCAGCTGCTTAGCATGGCTGAGGAATCTTGGAAGATGTATTTAAAATTCAACTGGAAGGTGTCCAATTAGACAGGGCTATCTCAGATATCAGTATTTGGGACAACTGACAGCATTCATCTTGGCCCACTTCTTTGTGGTCCACATAATAGTATCAGAAATTAAATGATGAGAAATAGGTGATTATTTCATTCACAATGCAGTGAAATTTCTTTGTTTGGATCTATGATATGGATCAACCGGACAACTCTCAAAAATCAAATGTTGTATGTTTTTTTTAAATAGCCCAAGGTATTAAAAGGGATTTACATCTTTGTTGCCTGCTGGCCAGTTTCTTTCTGTGCTTGCAATTGTAGGCTGTTTAGAGTATAACAGGTATTTTCAAGTCCAACTCCCTTGGGCAGGAATTTGGGCTAGAAGACTTCCAAGGTCCCTTCTAGCCCTATGATTTTATGATTCTATGAGTGTCTTCCCCTTCCCTCTATGATTCCTGAGTCTAGTAGCTCCCCCCCCACACACACACATACACATAAATAAAACCTGTTCAGAATACTATTAGTTGATCAATGATATCTGATTAGGTTTGGTTTCAACCCTTTCTTTCTCCCTTAATAAGAGAAAGAAAAAAACCCAGTAATGGAGCAAAATACTTTATATAAGCCATGCATTTATAACTTAAAGAAAGGTTACAATAATATAAATAAATCTCTATAAGTATTATAGAAGAGGAGCAAGGCACAGCTACGCATAGTTTATTTTCATATGCATGGAAGCCAAGGCTAATTGGCCTATTTCTTCCTGCTTTATCCTCTTATTTTCCCACTCATGCCAGCAGGTGAATGAGTCAGACTAGCTCAATACTGCATGACATCTGAATCCAGGATGAGGTTTTATTGCATCCAGACAAGCAGGATTATTAGCTGGCTTTAAAGGAGTTTTGTCATTTACTTATAAATCCTGTCTTGCTTGGGCATAATATAATCTGGAATTTGAATGGCACGCTTCCATAACCAACAAGTAGCTCTATAGGGATGAGGGGAGCAAAATGTGGGTCCAAAAAGGTTGCATGGACTCATATTGTGCATTTAATTGCTGTAGGAACTCTGCCAGTAATCTCAAAAGGTTTCACTAAGTTTTCCCAAACAAGGCAGTATCAGGATTTGATTCCAGTCCTTCTCTAAATATTTAAGAAGGGTTTTGAAATGTACACATTCCCCAGAACCTGTGACACCATAGCATCTAAATCAAGGGTTAAAAAAGGAAGGTCTGGAATCAAAACTCTCCTTCTGAGGGATGCTGTATCCCTTTTCTCTCAGATGACTAAGGCATTTTGTGGAACTTGGCCAATAGTTTTAAGTAGATGATGCTCATCTAATTCTCAGAATTTCCTGTCTGGCAAAACTAGTTTTGGATTTAAAATTTTAGATTTACATTGATGTACCCAGTCCTCAAGGCCAATTAACTTTTAGATTATGACTCCCTAAAAAGAGTGTGTGTGTGTGTGTGTGTGTGTGTGTGTGTGTGTGTGTGTGTGTGTAAACTAGAGAGCAGCAGATTGGGAAGGCTATACTAGGGTAACTTTAAAATATACACATAGATTAGAAAAAAATAGAACTATGCATGTTTGCTGTATAAGCATACACAGTGCAAACAGACGTATTATCTACACATACATAAATATAATATGAATTGTCCATTGAGTTATCCTTATATTTTTTGGCCTCAGTGTATATTATAGATAGTCCTGTCTTAACAACCATAGGTGGGACTGGAAACTCCATTGCTAAGCAATGTGGTCATTAAACAAAACATTGCATGATTTTACTAAACTTACGATGTCGTTTGTGATCAAGAGATCTTCACTTGCAATTTTACTGCCAGGATCTTCCCCACTGTAACTCCACATATACAAGTAGTCCTCACTTATCAAGCAGCTGTTCAAAGTTATGACTGCAATGAAAAGCTAACTTTATGACAAGCCCTTACATTTATGACTGTGGCAGTGTCACCACAGTTATGAGATCAAAATTTGGGCATTTTACAACTACTGGGCATTTATGATTGTCCCAGAATCTCATGGTTGCATTATTGCCACTTGCAATTGCTGAATTCCATCCAGTAGACTTGATGGAGAAACTTCATGAAGCATTTACAGTCTGATCTCCATATCATGTAGTGACAAATAATAAGCTCTAAAACAACTTTCACTTACATTTACATAGTCTCCAGGCTGCAATCTGGAAGATCACAAATGGGATTTCACAAATTTAGTATTCTTCCAAACCAAGTATAAATAATATGACATTTTTAACCATTATTCACACAGAAAATTAACTTAGAAAAGGCTACTCCATATACAAAACCATTTAATTATTTGAGCCCTACTTTTCTCATTTTAGAATTTAAGCCATGAACAGAATATACGAAGGTCAAAATCTGTCCTTCAGAGGAGTCCAACAATCTATTGGCAACTAATTTTTTAGCTAAAACAGTCCAAATTTTTGTTACATTATTTTAAGAAAAATAATTTTGTTTGCCAAGAAATTCAAAATCCTACTCTAAGAAAATACCATATAATTTACCTGTCCCATTATGCAAATAAAGTAAGTATTTTTGCATAATTTGTTTTCCTTTTTTTGGGAAGCAGTTCACACAAATGCTTTTGCCAATCTGAAGTAGAAGGATAAAAAAACTTGATTTCTCAGATATCAGAAATCCGGCAGATAAACTCTCCAACCTTTTTTAGTTTTCTAGCATTCTTACTCTTTAAACAAATGTGATTGCTAGAATACTAAGTTCAGTATCTGCTAACACATTCAGTAGAGTTTCAAAGATCCCCTGCCAGATTTATGGAATTTGTCATGCATTAGCTATTTCTGCTAAAACAAAGTTGGTTGGGAAAAATATGTTAGGAGATGCCCTTATGCAGTTCTCTCATTTTGTTATGCCAACAGAATGAGCAGCTGCTAAAGTTGCACACTACTGCTTCCTAGAGCCAGGAGATTATGTATTTGTCATAGTCTTTGTTCCTATATTTCTGTCTTCAGCACTTTCCAGACAAAATTGGTGTTTTTTTCTGATGAAACTTGCTTGCTTCTAGATTCTTCCAAAGGGAGTTACCCTGCCCATTTTGGGGAAGATGTTGTTTTAAAGTGCCATTAGTTGCACTTCAATCACTATTTGCTATGATCTATTGGAAAATGCAGCGTCAATTGTTGGGAAAGTTTGGTGTTTTACATCTTTAAACCAAAACAATTTAATTCTGCATGTAATACTTTGGATAAGGTGCCTTTACGCTTTGAGTAAACATACCCAAAATACTGGGTAATACTGGCTGTAAATCAAAAGGCAGCTCTTGACTATTTCAACATCCAGTCTTCTGGCTGCTGCTTTGTTGACATTACAAACACCAATGTTGGCTTAGTGGGAAATTGATTATGTGGCTCTGTTTTACGATGTTTGTATATGTGTTTATATGTTTGGGGGTGGGGGTGGATGTATGTATATGTGCAGGTACACCTGCTTTGGGACTTGTGTGTGTGCATACTTCAACTGCATGGGGGCTGAAACTCCATTCGTGGCTGTAACAAATATAAAAAAACTAAACATGATTTAATTAGTTTTTTTCAAATTGTTACAGCGGCGAATGGAGCTGCTGCGGTACGGTGTAGACTACAGCACAGTGAAGGGCCAGCAAGAAGGATGCACCGCACTAGCAACATTGGGGTCTGTGACATCCGGGAAGCAGCAGCTAGAGAGCGCTCAGCACCGCACAGCACAGCAGCAAACCGTCCCCTCTTTTACTTTCGTTTTGGTGAGCACAACAACTGTACTTATGTTTATATATCTCTATATGTTTGACAAGCATTTTGACAAAAGGTTGGATTTCATGGACATGGTGTGTGAGGAAGTTATAGCACAGAAAAGTGACATTTGCAATCCCAGAATTGCACACCATTTGTGTATTGTTTCACAATATGCATTTAATACCGAAATATGTTCTCCGGGTACATTTGTGGGACTGCTAAATATTCCTGATCAAAGTTAAAAGCTTTTGAGAATTGGATTTTGTTTGACATTCCAAAGCCATCTCTGAAAGACAAGTGTTGACTTAGTCAAGGTCACTACTGCCAACTCATTTACTACTTTGGGAAAAGAGCCTGAAAAATGTGTCTATAACATTGTGTTTTAGATTGTTGTGTGAACCAAAAAAATAGCAGTTTACTACAAAACTATGGTTTAGGAATTTAGTGATATCTATGAAGATCATTATTGCTTCTCTGCTCAGCCTTCTGAAAACAAGTACCGTATTCCAATATAGATCTCTCTGCTGTTTTCCACAATTCTTTATGGTCTTGCTTGGTAGCTCTATGACCTCTAATGAAGCATTCTTCTATTATATAGTCCTTTCTCTAGTTATATTTGAGATGGCATTAAAATATCTATTTGAAGGTCCTTTCCATGGATTTTATGCTAATCAATGATGGAGACATAAACTAATTCATTCTTACCCCGTCTTGTTCCAGCATCATGAAAAATTTGGATGTTGTGGCAGATGTAGCCACAGAAAGATGATTTTATGAGCCATGTTCCCTGTGGGGGGAACCCTTAAGTATGTTTACAGCCTAAATTATAATTGGTGATAGGGCTAATTCAGAATCTGTGTGTAGATCTCTAAGTGTTGAGGGTTTCAGAAACCAACCCACAAGCTCGGAGAACAAACCTTTACTGTCATCCTACACCCAAGTTACAGATATTCGGCACTATTGCATCTCAGAGTGAGTTGCAGATTTTTTAAATTTCTAGCTGTCCAATAAAAGCAATAACTATTAGGTTTAGCCCAAGAATGACATAGAACAATCCAGCCAGAGTTCAGTTCTTTATTTGCCTACATACAATAAACAAAATTTTGCCAGACTAAACTCTTATTAATTTCACCCTAATGTATATAGGTAATTCTAAGGAGCAGCTATCCTAACTCTCTTCCGCTATCTCCTGCCCATCTGTTGGGTCTGCTGTCTCTTGTTTCCTCTCACTCCTTCTTCACTGTAGTTCATCACACTAGGTCCCTTCCATAGGCACTATCTCTCCCAGTAACTGAAATTCCACCCCCTAAATTAGCAAACTATATGCATGAATTTGGGAGGAAAATGGGAATCAGTCTATATGTGAAAGGACTTACATGGTTGCTGTGGATACGGAGCACACAATTCTATCTTGTTCCTTAATTTTTAGAATATTGACATCTGCCTTATGTCAATATAGTTGTTGGACCTGATCCATCAACCAATTAAGAGCAAACAACAAAACAAAAACACTCTAAAACCAGAATAGATTTTGTTAAAATAAGGCTTTTATATGCCAAACTAGACTATTTCATACTACTTGGTACTATTTCATGGAAATGCTTCTGGAAGTTAGAATTCTAATGCCAGATTTGGAAAAGGTAGTTTAGAAATTCTGCCTGGGATCTTCTGTATTCAAACTTATTTTATAATTGGCAATCTTCCCATTTAAAGGCAGAAACAACTTTCAATTCCATTCTCATCCACCACAATAAGTTCATTGGGATGGAAGTATGAATGATTTATAGTAAAAAAATAGTATGTTAGTTATATCTGAATACTACATGCAGAACATACACATCCATACATTTAAAATGAACTTAACTAGGAAAAGAATATTATTGTTCCATATTGCAGAGTTAAGTAACGCATTCTAACAGGAAGCTGTTAATAGAAAAAGGAGAGGCAAAGGACATCAACAATCTGGAATAAGTTCAGAGAGTGGCTGTCAAGAGGAGGCAGGATCTGGAAACCACGATTTAAAAGACCTGGGATGTTTAAGCTGTGAAGAACTGAGGGAAGACATGATAGCAGGCAGTTTTTAGATACTTATGGATTATTAAATGGATAAGGGAGTAGACTTACTCTCTGTTGTTCAGAGAGCAGAACAAAAACTAGTGGTTTGAAAATACAAGGAACTAGATTTATGTTAGGTGTTAGAAGGAATAAACAGAACCTCAAAAACATACTAGAATTTCTCCAACTCTCATAGAGCAGAGTCATAGAGCAACAGTATTGAGTTTCTTCCTTACTCCCTCCTGCCTTTGTGGGCTAAGCTGATGTTTTTATAATAGCTATTGCATAATGTCTTCAAGGCTATCTCCATTCTCTTCTGCAATAATATATTCTCCGTCTCTATAGGACTTTGGTCAGAAGCTGGAAATGTTCAAGAAATGTTGCATTGAGTAAAGCACTGAGTAGGTGGTTGGAATAGAGAGTAGATGACCTCTGATGTTTCTTCCAATTGATTGTATAAAAATTAAGATGCTGGGAGAGATGGGTGTAAATATATATTATGTAAATATATATTATGTAGCTACCGTTCTCCATTCTTGAATCTAAGCAAATTGGTTCCAAATTCCATAAGAATCAAAATGATGTATCTTTCCTCAAACTAAAGCACTTTTATTTCATTAAGGGAGGGGCAGTATTAAAATACTGAAATAAATAAAGATTGTTGTCTGACTTTGTCTTATTGGGGGCAGGTTTTTGAGGCTTGATTCCATTTTTCCCGGGTTTGGTCCCAGGTAACAGTTGTAGTTGCTGGTTGTTTATTTCCTTCATCTCAAAAGCACAGATAGTGGCAAGGGAACAAATTTTCCTCAGAATTCATTGGGGACGAAACGTTGATTGCTTATTGATTACTTCTTACTTATATGTAAGATGAAGAGCTCAAAACTAGAGGCTAAGACATAGCAATTTAGATTAAAAGATTCTTGGTTCAGTCTGCCTTGACTGCCACTAAGTCAGCCTTCCTCATGTGAAGCTTTTCAGATATGTTGATACCCCAGAAATCAGTTGACTCCAAAATATCTGATTGCATTAGGAGGTCTAAAGAAATTGTAAGGATATAAGAAGAGTTGTCCTGGAGTTGTTAGCTCCCTCTAAAGGATTCAACAATAAATTGCAGATATTCTCATTTTATATGGCTCTTAAGTTTGGATAAGGCTCACAGACACAGATCAATTAGAAAAGAATCTTTATTGCAAGCAAGAATGAACCCAGCTGAATCAGTTGGTTGCTTATTCCCAGTGATAGTTTTCTTATACCCACTCTCATTTAAACTTCCATTTTCTTCTGGCCTTTCTCACAAATCAACAAGTTTTTCTTGACAGTGGTGGCTTTTTAATCAAGTAGTTCTTAAATATTTGCATACTCCCAATTTTGGCTTTAAATATTCTGGTCCTTGCATTAACTATCAGTATTCTATGTCATATAATGGCCAACCAAATGCATCTATGAAGCCAACTTATATGGACAGACAGGCAAAATATTTTGTCTACTATCATTTTTTAGTAGCAGTCAGAGATTTAAAAGATAACCTTCAGTTATCAAGATTTAGAGCCAATGATTTCCCAATTTCATTAAATCTATCAAATCCAAGTTACTGATCATTACCATGTATGATGGAAGTTTTTCTCTTTTTTAGTTCACTTTCATCTTTGTAGATTAAAAAAGGCTTCAGAAGAGAATTCGTTTCAAGTAATTGAACATTGGATGCATTACACTACCAATTAATTTATTGATTTTATATATTTATTTTCATCATGCATTTTCCAAACAAAGGACAAGTTAATTCTGCTTCCAATTATATTCTGTTTCCTTTTCATTGAGAAGTGTGATAATTAACATTTTTCTAGATGGGGTATGCATCATGGAGTTATTCCTAGAAAACATATCAAAAGAGATTTCAAGGGATATCAGTACATGGTTTTACAAGATTTAATCCTCCATGCAAGGCAATAGCAATGAATCTATAACATCTACAGATTGCCTTGTGCATTATTTATTTGCACAAATTTTATTCTGGAAAAAGCAATTCCATCTGACTACGTTCCAGCATTATATGTGCCAGACAGGTGGATGATGTTTCTATGAAGTGTACCTTCCTCTTGATAATAACACTTCGCTGAATTTTTAGAGTTTAATTTTTGAGGGTTTTGTGTCTTATGCAAAAGGATCTGGATACCAGAGACTTAATATTTTGTGTTCTATATTTACCCTGCAAGAAAAAAAAATAGGCTGTTTTTAAAAATTGCAACTGACTAGTCTTGCTGAATACCTAATAAAAGCTTGTGTTGGGCTTCTATTGTTGGAAGAAAACTTGGGAATCATATTTATATCCCTCGTACATGGGAGAGAGGGGAAGAAGGTCCTATTTTGACCTTTAATGGAGGCAGAAAATTTAATTAGACATTTTCTACTTAAGGCTTCTTACCGGAGAAATATGCTCATGTCATTGGAAAAAATAAATGAACCAGGAATTGACCATTGCAAGGAAGACCCAGTTCCAAGGAGAATAAAAATTGAGACTCACAAATTAATTAGATAAACTCTATAGCTGCAGATTTATAAGATTCTAAGAATATCATAACATATAAAAAAGCTGACTAACAATTCTTTTTGGTAGTATTGACATCAGCCTCCAAGATTTCACAGTTGGAAATAGAAACTGAAATTGTACAAAGAGAAGAAACACAGTGGCTAGCATGCAAAAGCTCCTCCAGCTCAAGGATTATCAGCCCACATCAATTGATACTTTGCCATCTTTGCCTTATCTGAGAATTATAGTGTTCTAGCATTATACAACATACTCTCTTATTGGCTTGTAAAACTGGACAAGATATTGCAAGACAAATAAAAATATTGTGCTTAAGTCCTGCAATATACAATAGGTAAGAAAGGGAACTCTAGTGATCATCTTTAATTTTTCATTGGTGTCAACTTTCAAATAAGCAGAGTTGCCTTTTTTGTCCCCTGTGGTTCTTATCACCATAGTATCTAATTTGTAGACCTAAAATAGAGCTGTCGTCTGCTCCAAGCACAACCACATGATGCTCTTTGGAAAGAGCTGCTGAACTGATTATTTCAATTAGCTCGTGTTTATTTTTAACCATTTGCCAGGACAGTACAGAGTACATAATCCATCACGGAGTTGTTTCTTGTTCTAACTCCTAACTTGCTTGTTTTTTGTGTAACATACTGTATAGCCTAAATTCTCTTTGTTTAGAGATAGTACCAAATGGGATATTAAAAAACTCTACCGCAGTATTCTTTCTCCTTCAGTCAAACAGACTTGGATCCATCTTCAAAAGATAGTAACATCTGGAGATAGCAGATGGGGTTCACTGAGCTCAAGAGCTGGGAAAACCTTGTTTTGGAAAGGCTCAGTGGGTATATTTTGATTTGATGCATAAAATCAACAGAAGTGCCTGGTGACTCTCTAGAGCTACAGAGCAGATGTAGTTCACAAGAACTCTGCACCTGGGCTCATCCTCACTTGGTTCCCTTTTCTGTCTCAGAAGTGGGAGGGCAGATCGTTTATTTCTCATTGTGACAGACAGAAAGGTTCTCCACTACTTCAATGGAAGAAGAATTGCCTTTCTCTGCTTAGGTGGAGCATAGGAGCAATTGTTCTTATCCTTCTGTTTAAAGAAAGAGTTCCTTCCATTTATTCTGAAGATAGCAAGGGTGAGGGAGTCTCCTTTTCTATCTAGAGCTCAACCTTAACCCAGGAAAGGCATAATTCAAATTTTGCTTGATGTTTCACTTCTGGAAGCATCTGAATTGGTTTGCTTTTTCTTGTACTATGGTTATTTATATAAAACTGTTAGTGCACTTTCACTTTGCAACATTAAAAATGATTAGCAAACATTGGTTTACTTGGCTCATAAAATATTTAATTATATATCAATGGAAAGTAGGCAGAATTACTACAATTGATGCTGCTGTTTTATCATTCTGACTCTACCAGACATTTTCTTTATTCATTTCTGATTTGTACAATCCTAACATGACAATATCCACAAAAGTTCATAGCCCAAAGTTGTTATTCTATAGCATTTTGCATATTTGTGCTGCAATTAATGACAATAATGTACATGTTTTGTTCACACTTTTGATTTTGAACAGTAAGTCATAAAATCCTATGTTATAATAATTTCTTTGCTTTGCATTAACTCTAGCATAGAGTTCTTGAGCAGGTCAAGCTTTTATTTGCATTCACTGTGTGCCATGGTTACCATAATTTTAAAAAATAATGCAACAGAATCTGATATTTTTTCCTCTTTTTCCCGCAAATGCAGGAGTGGATCAAGCACTGCCACAAGAACGCCGAACACCAGTAACTCCATCCTCTTCCTCTCGATACCATCGCCGCAGATCCTCAGGGTCACGAGATGAGCGCTATCGGTCAGGTGTGTACAACAGCAAATGTGTGTGTGTGTGTGTATTAGAACGGAACATTCAGTAGAGTAAGGCAGCTTTCAGACTATTCTCCTTTTCCTCCTCCCCTCCCCTCTAGTTATTTCTTGATGGGAAGGTTACAATGAAAGAGTACGGCTGCCCCAATATCATCCACTGAGTGTCAGGGGCCGAGAATAGGGTTGGTCCTGTGTCTCCCCAGTCTTAACGCAACCACTTGCCCACTATGATTCATTCAAATCTCCCTTGCAGATATCAAATCTATCTTGGATAGATTTATCTTATCAAATCTATTTTGTAGATATGACTCTTAATCATATTTCCTGAATAAGATATCTACTTTACATAATGGCAAGGGAATATGATCAAGATTGTATAAATCGGTGGTTCTTAACCTGTGGGTCGGGACCCCATTTGGGGTCGAACGATCATTTCACGGGGGTCGCCAAACAACGCAATCCGCCATTTTTTTCCCCTTTTCCTTAGCTGTGCTACTCCCTTTTATTCTACTGGCTTTTGAAAGCCAATAGAATAGACTCTCTTGAATAGAGTCTAATTCTATTGGCTTTCAAAAGCCAATAAGAATTGTCCAGGCTGTCTCTGCCCTGCTGAGCCCGCCAAAAGTCCCATTCTGCAAACAGTGCTGCACCAGTTGAGTAGTCCTCGACTTACGACCAGTTGAGTAGTCCTCGACTTACGATCGGTTGGGATCGCGGCATTAAAAAGGTTGAGAACCACTGGTATAAATAAAACTTCCCACACTGAAAATACGAATGTGTCTTAAAAATCCATAAAAATGGGATAATAATTAAGATCACACTGGAATTCTTTATAATAAATAAACATTGGAATTTCAAAATATAATATTTTGTTGGATCAGTGGTATTTATACAGATGGAAGATTGGTTTTGGTGTGTGTATATGTTTCTAGTTTCATACTGAGTTAGTATTACCTTCAACTTTGACTTGTTATTATTCATAAGTTTCTTTTATTTTATAAAAACAAAGGAAGCTAAATGATAAAGAAACCTATATTGAGAGTTCATAAAAATGATTCTCTATAGGTAGCTCAAATCATGCTCTTCACGCTGAATTATCTTCTGGCTCAAGAAAATGTCAATAGCTGCTAAAATACTAACATGAGCTTTTGAGCAGCAATATTTCAACACTGCCGCATTATATTCAAGTTCTACTTGTTTGTTCTGAATGCTTTTCTCCCACTCCAACAAAAAAAAACAATCACCTATAAAAAACCTTAATATTTGAATGTCACAGAAGCAGAAAAATAAGAGCATTATTTTTTTAATTCAACTCTTACAATCTCTAGCATATGAAAACCAAATGAGAACCTGTTAACTTGTTTTGTAAAGCACAGAGATAACATCACCTGGTTCACACATCGCCAGCTAATCTGGTTTGTCTGAATTTAGCCATTGTACCTGGTAAAGCATAACTTATGTTTTAGTGTTATGTGAACCTGGATTATCTCCTCCCTCCCTCCCTCCCTCCCTTGAAATGGATGAGATGGGGATAAGATTTTCCTTCCCCACAAGTCACAAACCAGTAGTGAATGCTCAGGGCCCCAAGTCATCCAGCAAAACCAGATTTTGATACCTTTCTGGAAGGCCAAAATGGAGAGGGCAGGCCTCACCTCCAGTGAACGAATGTTGCACAGAGTTGGATCACAGCAGAAAAACCTCCTTGATACTCTCTGCTTCAATTCCTTAGCACATGGGATGTGTAGCAGGCCTCTTCCCCTGGGGTGGACCAAATTCCTCTGCACCGCCCTTTAAATGATAGCGACATTTTGCAGCTCTTATGGCCACAAGGTAGTCCTTAATTGTGGCTCTAACCTATATCCGGTAAGCTTCATTCTTAGTTTTCCTCCAGTAGCACTCTAGTTGCCTTTTGTTCCTATTCAGAACTCTCAGCTTCTGCATAAACCAAGTGGAGGTTTGGGACTAATAGGCCATGTGAGGGCACATAGACACAATCCTGTCCACAATCCTGCCTCGGCCACTTTCTGATTCCAAATAATGGCCAAGACCTCCAGAGGGCTGTGCAGTAGAACCCACCAGGACCAGCTGGGAGATACCAGCTCCTTCTGAAATCAGAGTAGATCTATTAACTGTCAAAAGCAGACCATTCAAATAAGGCCTGTCTCTCGCTCCCTGTTAATACTGCTTGAGACCGGCCATGGAAAAGCAAGTTGAGCCAGCACAATACTGTGCTGCCCAGCCATAGCCCCCTCCCAGCTACTTAGAGGTCAAGGAGAACATGGATGGTTGCACTACATCCCATCCCAGAGATCACCCATAAGCACAAACAATGCCATTTCTCTCCGTAATCTGCTCTAAAACTCTACAGAAAGGGGTCCAGATCATTCATTTCAACAGGACCCTTTGAAGCTGCAAGACAACCTTTTTCCACCATTTTCCCTAGAAAGGTGAAGTGGACACTGGACAAATCAAAACCCCAGGATATGCCACCCAGCTCCCGAGTGGGTCCATTAGTCGCCAAAAGTGGACCATTCAAATAGAGCCTTGCTCCTTATTAAAACCAATTAGGACCAGCCTGATTAGGAGAGGAGCTGAACCAGTGCAACACTGTGCTGCCAGCCCCATTCCTGGTAGCCACTGAGAGGTCAAGAAGAAGGATAGTTGCACTACCCTATCCCACTCTTGCCAGAGGTCATCCATGAGGATGAACAATGCTATTTCTCTCTTACAACCTGCCCTCAAACCTACAGATCATTCATTTCAACCAGGACCCTCCAGAGTCCTGGTTTCCTTTTTCCACCACATTCCCAAAAGGGTTCCAGATCATTCATTTCAACCAGGACCCTCCAGAGTCCTGGTTTCCTTTTTCCACCACATTCCCAAAATAGTGAGGAGGGGCAAGCAGGAGGGACAGGGATCTAATAAGTAGATAGTTGCCTTAATAGCCCCCATGAATCCTGTCTATTTTCTCAGGTCTAACAGAGTCAAACTGCTCCCAGATAATCTGGCAAATCCATTCCCCAGGGTCTCTCCAATGGACCTGCTGTATGTGTGGACTCAAACTGAGAATGGACCCAAGCAATTATATCCATCATATGTTTAAGAAATCCCACTGCATGGCCTTTAAATGTTTGCCCCAGCCCTCTTTCCCAAGGAGGAATTGGTAACCCTGAAGAGGCCCATCAGACAACATTGGAGATGCAGTTAGACTGGAGAAACATTGACTTTTGCCATTCATACCACCATAAGGCAGGTCTAACACATGTCCAGTCAGATCCATTCTTAGTTTTCTTCCAGAACCATTTTAGTTGCCTTTTGGTCCTTTTCAACCATGGGCAGTTTTGGGACTGATAGAGCACATAGGCATGATCCTGTCCAAGGCCTCAGCTATTCCAAGTTGCGGCCATGACTTCTACAGGTCTGTGCAGCAGAACCCGCAGGATATCCCCGCAACTCCTTCTGAAACCCGAGTAGCTCATTAATCGCCAAGGATGAACAATTCAAATGAGGCCTTTCACTCGCCAGAGATCATCCACAAGTGCAAACAATGCAGTTTTTCTTCCATAACCACTTTTTCCACCATCTTCCTTAGAAAGGTGAGGGAGACACTGGAAAACCAAACCTCCAGCTCTTTTTGAAACCCAAATGGGTCCATTGATTGTTGAGAGCAAAGCATTGCTTCTTGATCCCATCCAATACTGCTTGGGACCCAGCCTTGGAGAAGGGACTTGAATGAGTACAAGGGTCATCAAATGGGTCTTAAATGATCTGGGATAGGTTGATGGCCGTGAACTCCAGGGCTGCTTCTGAGGCCAAGTCAGGGATAGGATGGAAGTCCTCTAGGATCATAAACATGGAGACCTTCAACAGTAGACCTGAGATGGCCTCCAGCAATGCAACAGGTAGGCTGGTACAACAGCAACACTCCCAATTGGTTTCCCTTTCCACCACATTCCCAAAATGGTGGGTAGACACTGGACAAACCAAATCCCCAGGATATTCCCAGCTCCTTGTGAAACCCAAGTGAGTCTGTTAGTCACCAAGGGTGAACCATTCAAATGGGGCCTGCCATTCGCTCCCTATTAAAACTGCTTGAGACCGACCTTGGAGGAGGGACTTGAACAGCAACACTGTTCTGCCTAGTCCCAGCCTCTGTATGAGTTGAGACCCAGCCTTGGAGAAGGGACTTGAACCAGTGCAATACTGGTTCAAATGGGGCCTGCCACTTGTTCCCTAAAACTGCTTGGGACCAGCCTTGGAGAAGGGACTTGAACTAGCACAACACTGTACTGACCAGACCCATCCTCCGCAGCCATTGAGAGATCAAGGAGCAGAAGGATGATTGCATTACTCCATCCCACCCTTGCCATCAAACAATACCGTTTGTCTCCCATAATCTGTCCCACTCTCGCCAGAGATCATCCACAAGTGCCAACAATGCAGTTTCTCTTCCATAACCACTTTTTCCACCATCTTCCTTAGAAAGATGAGGGGGACACTGGCAAACCAAACCTACTGTTCCTTTTGAAACCCAAATGGGTCCGTTGGTTGTTGAGGGCGAAGCATTGAAATAGGGCCTGCTTCTTGATCTCTACTAATACTGCTTGGGACCCAGCCTTGGAGAAGGGACTTGAACTAGCAGAACACTGTACTGCCCAGCTCCATCCTCCATAGCCATTGAGAGGTCAAGGAGAAGAAAGATGGTTGCACTACCCATCCCACTCTCGTCAGACATCATCTGGAAAATCTTATAGCCACCAGGGCATAGTCTCATATGGCAGGGGAAATACCATATCATGTATAATCATGACAGATTCCCCGCCTTATCATGTTGCCAGTGCTCTGAAAAGAAAATCATATCTGGGTTGTAGCCACTATCTTGAATGGGTCTTAGATGATCTGGGATAGGTTGATGGCCGTGAACTCCAGGGCTGCTTCTGAGGCCAAGTCAGGGATAGGATGGAAGTCCTCTAGGACCATAAACATGGAGATCT